ACCATCATTTTGCAAGTAATAATCTGTAAAAGGAATAGAATACAGGCCGACGCGAACCGGTTCTTTTGTCCCGGTAAAAGAAGAAACCCGGTTTGGAATCCGCCATGCGCGAAGTCAATCTACTACGTTCTGTAAAAATTTCCTCATTTTCCTGTGCATACACACACGCTTCTATGTGTGTATATGTATATATATCCAAAAGCTGAAATCTTTTTATCTGCCAAAGCTTCTCTAAAAGCACCACATAAGCATACAAGGGGGGGTGACAACACCCCAATTCGTCTTTTGCGGGGGTCTGTCAAAAAGGGAGGGAAAAAAAGCATATTGACTCGCCCCTGACTCGGGTCGACTCGCGCTTCAACTCGTCCTTATACACTTGATCTACCCGTGATTAGAGGTGAATTCCCTGAATTATTTCTTGCATCTTACTTTTTCTTGGTTTTGTGTAATTGTGTTTGGATCTGAAGAATTGAGCATTGGCAGAATTGGGAATCATTGGTTTCTGTGTTGTTTGGCTGTGATTTTTGTTTCTTTGGAGAATTTAACAATGTGGGCTTGGTTTTGCTGTGGGTTTCATTGAATTTGTGATTTTGATGTTGTGTCATTGGATCTGGTGCTGCAAGGCTTTTGGCTTCATGTGCTCAATTCAATTTGTGGTTCTTTCTTCCATTAGATAATGATTTGGTGTGGTTTTCTGTAATGAAAAGAAATAAAGCAGGAAAGAACTTATGTCATCAAGATTTTGTCTTTTTTCCAGCTGTGGGAAACTGCTGTTGTCATGTTTTGTGGAATCAAGTTGTTCTGTGTCTAAGAATCTGGAAATCTTGTAATTCTCACTTAATGAATTTGCAAAAAAGGCTTAAACTTTGCAACAAAAGATGTGTGCTAGCTGGATTTGGTGAGGTTGTGAAAGTTTTGGTTTAGCCTTATTTCCCTTGTGTTAAGGGGAAGTAATCTTCTATGCATTTCTTGGTTATGTTTTCTTTAATTTTCACCCCTAAGAGAATAACATTTCATCTGTATGGCAGAGAGTTAAGTTTAGTCCTGACTAGTAAGATGTAAACTTGAATCCTCCGTATTGGTTTTTTGGCAGAGAGGAGTTAGTTCTTTAGTATTTGTCATTGTGTCCTGCATACAAGAACCTGATTAGTGAGGGGGGTAAGTGTAATCTGAGCGAAATTTAGATGATTAGAGGAAAGTTTATAATTGTATATCTTAAAGATGTACTTTTTGATAATTTTGGGGATCTAGATTTGCTGCAATTTGTCTACTGTGTTTAGCAAGATTCAATTCACAAGTAATGCTTTGCGCCTGATATAGAGATATCTGTATCTGTATAACTTTTCTTCTCTATTTTTAGCAAATCATTGTTCAATTTGATATTTGACTCTTCACCCAAGCATCATGCGGTTGTCGTTTCCATTAAAGGCTCCAGCCTGTGGAATCGCTAGAATTTGTTTCCTTTTCCATTTGGAGTAAACTGTTTTTGTTGCTTGGACGTCTTTTCCACCCCCATCGTTAAACTTTGAGACTATTTCTGTTGCAGTCCACTGTAATAGACTGCTTAATCTACATTAAAAAAAAAAAAAACCCGGTTCATTCGTGTCAATCTCAGCGTATTCCACGTCATAAATGACTGTCATTTTGCCGTTTTCAAGTGAATATGAGCTGTTGATTATGGCGTTTTCAAGTGAATATGAGCTGTTGATTATCGTCTCCCACTTAAAGATGTCCATACAGAGTTCATAGTCGTGCACGTTTCTTCCTTTTTCACTAGGATAAATACGGATGGACTGAGCCCATTTTGATATCTGCATTTGATTTCGTTCTTCAATAGGATATAATAAGTTCTACTGAGATTCTAGTCGATACTTTCTGCAGGAACATCGCATTCTCAGTATGAAGGCACTTATTCTTGTTGGAGGCTTTGGCACTCGACTGAGGCCATTGACTCTCAGCGCCCCCAAGCCGCTTGTTGAATTTGCAAATAAACCTATGATTTTGCATCAGGTACACCCGTTCATCTATAATCATACTTTCGTTCTAAAACATTCTAATTTGTAAACGAAGCCATCTGTATTATTCTTTTACTTCTGCTTTCGATTTTTAATTCTGGTTAGTTGAATCGTATCTTTTTCAGATTGAGGCGCTTAAAGCTGTTGGAGTAACTGAAGTCGTCCTGGCTATTAACTACCAGCCCGAGGTTGATTCCCTGTGTTAATTATCTTTAATGTGTAGCGATAATGCGATATTATTCAGAATCGTTAATAAGAAGAGCGTCTTTATACGCAGGTGATGCTGAACTTCTTGAAAGATTTCGAATCGAAGCTCGGGATCAAGATTTCCTGTTCACAAGAGACTGAACCGCTTGGGACTGCAGGTCCGCTTGCCCTGGCCAGGGACAAACTGATAGATGATTCTGGTGAGCCGTTTTTCGTTCTCAACAGTGATGTTATCAGTGAATATCCTTTCAAAGAGATGATTGAATTTCACAAAGCTCACGGAGGAGAGGCTTCCATACTGGTTACTAAGGTAAATCACCAATTACTCTTCCCGTTGAAATTTTTATTTTATTAGGGTTGTTGAGATTTCACAAACCAGCTTGGTTGGCGTGAGTGGCCGTGCACTCTCATCCCTTAAGAGAGGTCGGGAGTTTGAACCCCCTCTCGTATGGAAAAACCAATCTGGCCAGCACTTTGCCCCTTAATTGGGCCGGCTTAGTGCGAATGGAGATTAGTCTGAGTATGGTACGGGCTTAAAGGTGCCTCCTACAGTTAGGGCCTGCTCAGGACACCTCATAGTCTGACCAAAAAAAATTACCAATGTTCACCGGTTGGTTGATACAGGTTGATGAACCTTCGAAGTATGGTGTTGTTATCATGGAAGAATCGACCGGGCAAGTAGAGAGATTTGTGGAGAAGCCGAAGACCTTTGTTGGTAATAAGATTAATGCTGGGATTTATCTGCTTAACCCTTCGGTGCTAGACCGGATCGAATTAAAACCCACCTCGATTGAGAAAGAGGTGTTCCCAAAGATTGCAGCGGAGCAAAAGCTCTACGCCATGGTCCTCCCGGGTTTCTGGATGGACATAGGGCAGCCGAAGGACTACATCACTGGCTTGAGACTCTACCTCGACTCTTTAAGGAAGAAATCCTCGACTAAACTGGCTTCCGGACCCCACATCGTAGGAAATGTAATCGTGGACGAGACTGCCAAAGTTGGCGACGGGTGTTTGATCGGGCCAGATGTCGCAATCGGGCCGGGCTGCACGATCGAGGCGGGGGTCAGGCTCTCCCGCTGCACTGTCATGCGTGGAGTGCGCATCAAGAAGCATGCTTGCGTCTCAAGCAGCATTATCGGGTGGCACTCCACTGTCGGGCAATGGGCCCGCGTGGAGAACATGACCATCCTCGGGGAGGATGTTCATGTCTGCGATGAAATTTACAGCAACGGGGGCGTGGTTTTGCCCCACAAAGAGATCAAATCCAGCATCCTGAAGCCGGAGATAGTGATGTGAATTGTGAATTCAATAATACTAGGAGTCAAAAGTAAGTTTATGTGTCGATTTGTCTCAGAATGTGTCTCTGTTCTTTTCATGTAATTTCCTTTCCCTGTTTGATTTCTTGTTTTCCCTTGTAAAAGTCCCTTCTTGTAAGTTGAATTTGTGTTCACTTATACTGTTCTTTATAGGCTTGCTGTGTGGTTAAATGTATGAAACATCTTCACCACCAAAAAATGGTGCAACCAATCTACTCTGTGTACATAAACATTATCATACTGTGGGAGTCAGGTCTTGATCTTGTATCTTGGTTGGTACTATTAGTCTCAGACTCAGTTAACAGACTATATGATTATATCGATCATAAAAAATTCCTAAAAATTTTATATAATAATCATATAACCATGTAGTGGGTGTATAATGTGATCTATAAGAGATCAAAATAATGGGATTTAAGTTAATATTCCATGAAGTTTCATCATCACTGAAGTGGATAAGATAAGATGGAATCTTGTGGGATCTAATGTGTTAAGTCTTTATGTGACAAGCTGTTCTGGATTTTTGGTTTGGTTAACTGTCAAATTCACAAAAGTAGCCCAGCATATATCATTATTTGTCTTACATTATTGAGTGGAGTGGACATGTCTGTACTCTATAGCACTGTAGCTCACTTCTCACCTCAATCATTGGCATGCCATATAAGTCATGTGTGATAAAACATTTGATATATATATCTAAGATTCAATATATAATCCAAGGTTATTCATATATTGTTATATAATCTAAAACATTTGGTTCGGGGCTCGACGAGCTGCTTGTGAGCCATATATATAGAACTAGGTTTAAATGAAAACGGGTAGTATTGATAGAAAGTGCAGACTAATCTCATCCATCTATCTAAAATGATCAATAGCTCAAAATTAAGGAAAAACCGTGATGGCATTTCCGTAATTACGATGGTGCATTTGAAAATGTTTGATAGTGCATCCACGGATAACTAATAGTGCACAAACTAAGTACACTATTATAGATCCTAAATGCAATTGTAGTTATTCTTGGATGCACCATCAAGTGTTTCCAAATGCACCGTCATAATTACAAAAATGACACTGCGTTTTTTCCTTAATTTTCTGCCATTGATCATCTTCAATGAAATGATGAGATTAGTCCGCACGAGATTGCTAGTTCTCACCTGATCCTAGCCTTATATATATATATATATATATATATATATATATATATAAACTCATGATCAAATGAGTCCACCACTTCCAATGAGTCCGTATGGACAAATCTGGTCCATTAAAAACTAGAGATCAATGGTCAGATCTGGTTCATTATTAACTGTGCAACTAGAGATCACAGTTGCACAGTTGATAATGAACCAAATCTGACCATTTGTCTCTAGCTTTTAATGGACCAGATCTGTCCACACGGATTCATGGGAAGAGGTGGGCTCATTTGAATAGTGACAAGGCTAGACCATAACAGCAGCATCTGTAATCTAAAGACAATAATATATGCATATATGAGAAAAGACTTGAAATGAACTATTGTGGTATCTGTACATGATTGTCTGTCATAGATCAACAATGAGAAGGGATCAAAAAGCTTCATAAAACAAGCTTGAAACTTTGGTCTCTATACCTATATAGAGGTTGCCAAAATCGGTAAATATTCACAACCCGCGGTTGAACAATCAATATGGTGCGTGGAGGAGCTAACCGCAGTGTACCTAATTCGAGGCAGCGAGCAAAAACATGACGCAAGAAGAGAAGGCGAGGAGAAACCAGGACAAGAAAGCCAGCGTGATCGAGACTTGATACATGGAGCACGATAGGCCCTCCATTCTCTCGCAAATCGTTGTGTCCCTGCCGAACAAAACCATCACGCCAGCTGACGAGCACGCAGCAGCTAGGGACAAAGTGGCTGTCACCTGTATTATGAACATACATACACCAACATTTGATTAAACCGCCAATCACAAAACGAGCACTGATAGAAGCAATGTTGAAAAAATCGCTAGGCGCCCTCTAGGTGCCAGGGGACCGCCTAGGGTGCCTAGAGCGCCTAGGCGGGCGCCTAGGCCGCCTAGGCGCGATTTTTGCAACAGTGGATAGAAGTCTAATTTATTTAGTATAATGAGAAAGCAAACGCGTTGTGTTCACGTAACTTTAAAAAGAATTAGATCAACTTTTTCACGAAAACCTGACATGTATAACCAAAGACAGCAGAAATAGGTTGTTATTGAGCGACTTATTTATCTGATAAACCAAGAGGAACAAAGGATTATCGTGTATGTATGTATGTACTATAATATAGATCTCTAAGCCCAACGACTCCAACCATCAACTACCATTTCAAACTGTCAGGAATTAGATATTGCCACCATACAACAATAGTTTTAACCTAAAGTGTCCTGCTATGCAGGACCAAGACCATAGCAGTGGTTTCGTTTTGTTGTTTGCTGATGTGACAAGATATAAATCAAGGGGCATTGTAGTTTTTCGTTTTTGTTGATAAGTTAAATTAAGAAATATATTTTTTTGGTCAGGCCATGAGGTGTCCTGACTCCTGAGTAGGCCCTAACTGTAGGAGGCACCTTTAAGCCCGTACCATACTCAGACTAATCCCTATTCGCACCAGGCCGGCCCAATTAAGGGGCAAAGTGCTTGCCAGATTGGTTTTTTCATACGAGAGGGAGTTCGAACTCCCGACCTCTCTTAAGGGATGAGAGTGCACAGAAACCAGAACACATATATAACGAATCAATCACTTCATTTTCCCTCAATTGTTGATATGTTATCCAGAATATCATTCTGAACCTTAAAATATAAACACCGAAAAACATGTGAAGTTCAAGATATAAAAAAAAAAAAAAAAAAAGAGTAGAGAAAGCAGAAGGTATGTACCCAATCACCAACGACGAACAGGCTCACTAAGACGTGATTGTGCATGTCTCTTTTCACCCTCAAAGCATGAGCATCAAGGCAAGCAAGTGTGAAGCTCCACAAAAGTTGAAGCCCCATTGACGCAATTAAATAACTGAGCCAAAAGACACACGCAATCGCATAAGCAAACAGTAGAGCCATATAGGATACGGTCCCAACTCCCAACACAGCATCAACAATCAAGAATTTCAAAGCAATGCCTCGGGCATTAGAAGACAGTTATTTCATATACTAATATGTCTGCTTCAAGTCTACAAGGTGGTTTAGATTGACTGTTTTAACGTTTAAACACAGCTACAAGGCAGGGCAAACATAAGATCAAGAAGCATCAAAACCAGACTAGAAGATTCTGAGGAAAGAACAACAAGAATGGATAATAGAAGTAGATAATCTGTTCACAAAGACAAGCTTAGAGAGTTAGTTTAGTCCAGAAATTTACAAATTGTCCCAGTTCACAATGCCCACACTTTCTTGCCAATCACTTCCCAGCCCAACTTAATGCTTCTATACTCCAGTGGGCAATCAATCAAAACTCTAATAGAGTATAGTATTTCTTTCATAGCAATATAATAACCAAAAAAAGAAAACTTCAAATACCCCACCATGTCAAAATATGGAATCAAAGTGAGTAGCACAAGTAATGGCAGGGAAAGAAAAAAGAGAAATTAGGAAAACAAAATAGAATAAGTAAAAGAAGAAGAAATACTACCAGAAAGCAGTGGCAATAGAGAATCCATGAGCAGAAGCCATCACCGCAATTGAAACAGCTGCAAACACAGACTGCCCAATCCTTAGAAACAGCCCACTCACAGTCCCTGGGCTCCCAAATAGCACCTTCATACTCTCTTTATAATATATAATAGTAAAAATCGAATCTTTCTTTAAGGAATAGTGTTTTCACAGAAGAACAAAACAGAATGTTTCCTCAGATCTTCAGATCATCCTCACCAGAAGCCGTGGCTGAGATTTGACAACAAAATCACAACATAGAAACCCTAAAATAAGAAATAAACCCTGTTCTTGCACAATCTAATTCATATTAATATTAATATTGTACCAGTTTTGTTCTATCCCACGTATCCTGACATCTCTTGATCACGATTGACATTTGATGGAGCTAAGAAACAAATAGAAAACACTGCATTGCAGACCAGACAATAACTACTCCGCATAGAATAATAATAAAATCAAGCTGAGGTAAGCAGCTCTTGTCAAAGTTTCAAACTTTCAAGAATGTAATTGCATCAATTCATGTAATTCAGACATTTCATACTGCCAACAGTAAAAAGGCTTATTTCCACGCTTTTTGTCCTGTCTTTGCTTGTTTAAAGGAGCCACATTTTCAGCAGAAAAAAAAAATATTTTTTTTAAACAAGCAGGAAAAAAAAATTATGTTTCTTAGATCATGTGAATTTATTGTATTAATAAATATAAAAATTTAATACGGGGCAATTACTTCTTCTTTTTTTCTTTCTGAAAAATCATTTCTGCTAGGGGTTTAAGAAGAGAAAGAAACAATTGCGTAGAGAATAGGGCGTCGGAACGTTTGAAACCTTTTATAGTAAAAGATTTATTATAACAATCAATCAACTAAATCTTTGTCCTCTTCCAAAAGTGCTCGCCACCATTACAAAATTCTTTGATTTTAGTGAAAATCACAGTCTTTGAAGATGTGCATTAAATAAAGTTCGTCTTATGAATCTAACTAGTAAATATTAAATAATCACAAAAATGTAAAATTAATTTAACTTAGAAAAAATGTTTAAATAAGATCCTAAACTTTACTTGAAAAGTCAATTAAATCACTAAATTTTTAAAAAGTGCAATTGCACACTTTAACATGTTATATTAAGGTAATGAAATCCAAAACTCGGTAAATGATCTACTATTACATGTCATTTCGATCAAAAGGAATGAGAAATATCATTTTATAAAGGGAAAAGGGTCAAATAGACCCTTGAACTTTAGCTTAAAAGTCAATTAGGCCCCTAAACTTTTTAAATGTGCAATTACACCCATCAACAATTCATTTAAGTGCAATGAAGCTCAAAAATAAATTAATGACCTGCTATCACAGGTCATTAGGGTTTAGGCCACCTTTCGGCGAATTTTTCGGCAAAAAAAAAAGTGACCGGCGAAATTTTCGACAAAAGAAGTAACCAGCAAAATTTTGGCAAATCTAGGTCGGTTGTTGATCACATTTTTTTGTCGAAAAATTCGTCGGAAGGTGACTTGAACCCTAATGACCTGTGATAGCAGGTCATTAACTTGTTTTTGGGCTTCATTGCACTTAAATGAATTGTTGATGGGTGTAATTGCACCTTTAAAAAGTTTAGGGGCCTAATTGACTTTTAAACTAAAGTTCGTTGACCTATTTGACCCTTTTCCCTTTTATAAATAGAAATTCCTTAATAAATCAAGAGGGAGATTGTTAGAAATAATTTATTCCTAACAACTATTTGGTGAATTAGTATAGGTTGACTGACTCAAACTAATTAAAGAATATAATTGTAACTGGGAGTATATTCCGTAAATGGTACGACTAGCATGTTTGTATAAATGGGTATAGTGACATTTGGTGGGACATGTATATTGTATACTTATAGAATTGATTTTGAAGGATTGCTTAACCAAATGTTGTAAGTTGGAAATGAATATGTCGCTTTTACAATCATATTCATTTTGCCTTCTTTTATAATCCATCCTAGTGGGTCCTATCAACCTTTTTCTACCTTGTATTTTCTTTGAATCTATTATTATAATAATGTTCTGTAACAATTGATTTTCATGAATTTGTAATGGTTATATTACACTACTGCAAAAGTTATATATATTTTATTAAGAGTTAATATCAAATTAATCTTTGACTATAGTGATTTTTTCGATTTAGTGCTAAATAACTTTTTGTACTTAATAAAGTCCTCGACTTTAATGATTTTCTCAATTGAGTCCCCTGTTAAAATAATTTAGTAATTTCACCTTTATTAATATCAATTTTATTCTTCCACTATAACAGTTTCACCCTAATTAGTCTTCGACTATAGTGATTTTACTTAATTTAGTCATCGACTATAATATTTTTTTATCAATTTAATCATTAATTCTAATAGCCGTTGAGGTTTAAAAAAAAAAAAAAAAAAAAACCGATGACTCAATTGAGTAAAATTATCATAGTCGAGGACCTAATTAAACACAAAAAATTGTTTAGGACTAAATCGAGAAAAACCACTATAGTTGATAACTAAATTGGGTATTAACTCATTTTATTAATTAATGATTATATTAATACAATAATCCATTCTTGATACATATAACCCCATCAGCCATATAAATTTAATTTTTGCATATATCATAATCTATTTTAGAAACATTGTAAATCTAAAGACACTACCAGTCAACATTTATAAAGTTTAAAGTTAAAAATATATTTATTATAATCAATTAAGTCAAATGATTTTTCTAGATTTAGCATAATGAATGATGATGAAATACACCCCACCAAAGAACTTAGTTCCACAAATTGTGTCATTTTCGATACTCTAGGATTGTAATCACATGTATTTAAAGACTTGTAAACCAGAAGACACTCCAAATAAGAAAAAGCAAAATTATCATTCCATTCTTATCTATTTCTTTTCACACACATGAGCTTTTACAATCTTAAGTGGAGGATTATTATTATTTTTACTAAAATTAATAAAAACAAATAAAAAAGCAAACTCATTGGCCTTGCTCTAAGGTAAGGCTAACAACAATTCCTGTATTTTCCACCTGGACCCAAATTGACAGACCAGAACTCACAAGTATATTCTGACGTTGACTAGCGAGCTAAATCACAAAACCAACAACCAAGACACAGACGCCAGTTTGTATTTTCAAATCCAAATTACACTTTCAAGTTTCAACTTATTACCATTTTAGGTTGAAACTTGAAGCTATAAGAAACAAGTACAAGTCAAGATACTGTGGCCACAATATAGAAAGGTTTACAAAGACCTGCCTGCTACATGATTACACAATGACAATATGTTCAATTAGACCTATTGATGCATGTTCATGAAACGGTGTCTATAAATGAAACAAAACTTTCTTTAAGCTCACGGCAACAACTGTTACAACACGTAATACAATCACAAGTGTAGCAAAATACCGTCTTCAACAAGCAGTTTTTATCTTACAAGGATGTTTCAATAAAAGAAGTTCCTCAAACAAGGCTATAACTACAATTACTTTCCCGATGGATATATCCTAAAAGCCGTAGACCAAAAAGCATGTCAAACCCTAAAACATTGCAAGTGTCAACTGTCATATAGACCAAATGCATCTCTAGACCTCACACTCCAAGTGCTCCATAACTATGCAAGCTGCTCAGCTGCTGAAAATTGTAATTCAAGAAAGAGGACTTACTTCATCACCCCAAATTTCTCTTACAAACCACACCACACCTTGGGCTACCAAACCAAACTCAAGGGAAAAACCACATCTTTATGAAGATTGCCAAACCCATTTGTAGAACAAAAGCAGCAACCAGCACAATAGAAAGATCGTTTGTCTGTATGTGGTGGTTCTTAAGATTTAATGCAACAAAGCCACCTGATGCACCACCAGTGAGTAATATGATGATCCACTTTAGAAACTCCACTGGAATCATTAAGAGAAACTGCAATATAAAAAAAGGATCTCTTGATCACACCTTGACAAAAAGAAGGGAACAACTCTTGCCAGAGATTGTTATCAAGGGAGTATGAATAAAGATGCAATATACAATAAACTTACAGAAGTAGGAATAAAGATGAATAAGGAATATCCCCACAAGCACCAAAAACGTATGAGGCTAGCATTTAAGCCGAGGTATTGCAGCAAGAAGTAAAAACCCAGCGGAACAATGAATGCATAACCATATATTGTGCATGTTGCCACATTTACATAGTTGACGTCAAAGGTCGAAGAAGTAATAGTTTCACTCCTTTTATTCATTAAATATGTGGCACAGTTTCCAAAGGAGGAAAGTACAAATACCAATGTGGTTGAAATCCAGATGAGCCCATAACTGAAATTAGAATGCAAAACAAAAAGGAAATGAGTGTATATGATATTTAGAAACGGAAACATAAAGGCAGCAAAGCTGAAAAAGAAATTCCAAAAGAGTGAAAGCAGCACCATTATGACACATATCGAAACACCACAAGATATGTGAAAAATGTTAAAAGTACTCCTATAGTGATAATGTGGTATGCATAGTTCCATGTAAAATCACATTAAAGGGACAAAGGTATTAGACAACTTGATTGGGTCTTCAAAAGGGGAAGGTTTCTGTATTCCCATTACACCAAAAAAAATTTCCTTATCATATTTTGCCCTCTGATTTTTTTATTTATTGGTTTACTTCTTGTTATTGTTACATAGAGCTGAGGAGCAAGAAAGATACAGTTATAAAACACTTAATAAGGATAATTTTATTATATACTTTTTTTTTTTTTTATCTCCATTTCCTTTTCCAGTTTCATAAGAACATATTTGCAGAATCTGACTCATGCAAGTTAATAGAACATCTTCAATAGGGATGGGAAAGAAACCTACCAAAACTAGTCATCTGTAAAGGTATTTATGACTTACAGATCAGGGTTAGCATCAATTTTGCTGAAGAAATCTCCAGTTGTAGGATTTAAAGAGCTCATCAATCTGTTCATGACAATGTCTGTATCTACATTAAAATATTGGGTATACGATGAGATGCTAAGTACTCCTTTCCAGTTGTTTGTTGATTGTTGCCCATCTCCTTCTGCATAAGATAAGCAAGTTTTAGGAAAAATCTTTCCCAAAAATGGTACTTCTGTTTAGGAATAATCTTTTCTAAAAATGGAAATACACTTTAAATTTATCAACACCCAAAGGCAACTTGAATATTGAATAACATCCCCAATAATACTTCTGAATAGAAATCCTTGCCATAGGAACATAGGTGTGTTGGGCCAGATAATGGTGGGTCATAAATAGGTTTTGAAAGGGTCAAAGTGAACTAACTAAACTGGTTTGAGCAAGAAATTGGCTCAGGTAATAGTCTCATACATTTGTTCTTTAAGTGATACTCCCCCCGTCTCTATCCCACCTTCTGAACCCCCCACTGGCCCCCTAACTCTACCTAACCTCCATTGTTACTTGAAGAGTTAAAGTAATTTTACATTCAAGACATGACATTCAATTTATTATAAAATCTTCACATGAATGCATTGGAAACAGAATAGGACCCAATGCACCTCCAAAATATAAACTAAATAACATAATAGGACC